CACAAACTAAACTTTTTGTTCACGGATCAGTGCAGAGAACATTCACATTCCACTTTGCCAAAGAACATGGACTTTGCATTACTCTCATATGCACAAAGCTTTATTAAACTTAGATAATAAAAATATAAATAATACCAGACTTATTAAATAGACCAGAATTAAAATACATTTAAATTAAATTAAATGTGCATTACCAATGTGTCATGTAATGTACCACTGGTGATAAGAACAGAATTATACAAGAAAAAGTCTAAATCCTAATTTTGTGGTATTTTTTTTTTAATATAATCCAATATTATTTTTATTATCTCTCGTTTCTTCTTCAAAGGCACAATATCTACTGGCATTTTCATCTTCTAGCATGCATCATCTGGCATGCTTTTGGCAATGTAACTTTATGTAAGAAATTGTAATCAACCAAAAACCATCATCAACTTTGAATCCTTCATTAACCACCTGCTGATATCTGTGTCAAAGTTTGCGAACTTAATAATCGTCTGGGAGACCAATTCTATTACTCATTGGGAATCTGAGCCAAATGGTAATTTACTCTGCTTTTAGAACAACTCTACTAAAGAATCTGCTGCCAACTAACAGCATTAATTTGAAGGGCAATTTCAACTCCTTTCATAAAATGCTGTTGATTAATTACTGCACTGGTTGCAATTTGGCCTCCATTAGAGTAGAAGAAGGACAAAGGTTATTGGCGTCAAATTAATTTTGACATGGTCAACCACTTTACGACAAATTTCTTTCGCAATTAAAATCAAATCATACTTAAATCAAATGCTAGTACTAATAATACCAGATCATATATGCATTTTAAATATGTATAATTCAGTTCACTCACTGAATGACAGACTTGGCTACATGCGTCTTCTGTATAATGCATTTATACACCCCATATATGTACTGTATATACATAAGTAATGTTATCTCATGAGTACTAGATATGCCATGTGTTCTTTGTCGCCAAATTCCCTGTATGTGTAACTTACTTGGCTAACAGACATGAAATCTGATTGTGATTCTGAAAGCGAGCCCTCAAACGAATTGAAGGGGAAAACTGATGTTTTTTTTCCAGTACGACGGGCTAAATTACCAAACAGCTCACGCCTGAGATTAAAACATATTTATCTGACTAAACCCAGCAATGCCTTATAAAACAAACTGCTTAATCTGAACACACAACTACAAGTATTTTCTTGACTTTATTCGGCTTAGTCTAAATAAACATTATATAAACCAATGCTTAATCTTTACAAGCAACAAAAATGCCCTATTTTACAATCTGTATGAGATTCACTGCAGTGTTGCATTAAGATAAAGCCTAAACAGCCCCTCGGATTCATCTCCATTTTCTTTCTTACTATATGAGCACTACCTGCAGAGTGGTGTTGGCTGCTGGAACATGACAGGATACAGCTGTGTCTGAACACTCACAATCCAGCACAGCTGCCTGATACACAGCCTCTGAAACAGCCACAGGGGGTACCTGGGGAATTAGTGTGGCTGCCACAGTGGCTCTCATGCCTACAAATAACATCAGCAGCCCGGCAGCCTCGCTATCAATGATCCAGTATTAGAGTTTCGTAAGCACACAATTCAATTCTGAAAACTGACTCCGGGTCAGGTTGAATATATCTAATAACACTCCCTGCATCCCAATATGTGTACTTTCACGGCTAGACAGTATGAAAAAGCCCCAAAATAAATCAAATGAGTAGGGAATTAGGATGGCGCTAAGACGAATGGTTAATGAAAACGTCCAATACGATTAAGGTAACAACTTCCACTATAGGTGAGAAAAAGTGACCACATCGAAGCAAAGTCCTGGGCTGGTTTTCAGCTTTCCCTCAACGTATTTTATGCTCATTGGTTCACCTGGAGGGCACAATTTTAAACATGTAAGGAACATGAGCACTCACCAGTAAGCAAATGTTAAGGCATACTTGAAGCATATGAGGGTCCAGTGGGGCCTCTAGATCTTATCAAGTCAATTTCATGGATGTTTCATGAGGGTGAGGACAAATTCTGTCTATTTAAGGAGGTGCAAACCATTCTAGGGAGCTGCACACTGAATACATACAGCAGTTCTTGGCATTTGGAAATCAAGCTCCTTTTTCTAACCCAGGTCCCTCAATTGAGGCATCATTTCTAACAAACTAACAATTTTTCCACTAATAAAATTCTATTAAAAACATCAAAGTAACTTACAGTACCTACTTACAGTCAGCGCCGGATTTACCTCTTTTTGTGACATAGGCAAAACAAATTGTTGGGCCCCCCTTCCCTAATAATATGTTAGGCCTAATATTACCACCCAAGCAAACAAAAATATTTCTTAATCAGTGCAAACCGTTACAGTGTTTTCTATCGCAATAAGCGCTAGCGTTCAATCAATAAAAATCGAATGTATTTCTTAATTTGTTTGAGAACTGAGAAAGACCATTCCATTAATAGGTGCGCGATGTGGCCACAAAAAAAACCACCTCCAGGAGTGCATTTTTTCTCTAATAATTTTAACAGCCTGGAGTCACAACCACATATCAAGACTGTTCAGATTATTTGTTTCAAGACATTTGACATGTTTCCATCCTGAAATCTCGTGTGTTGAACTAATTTTTTACGCACCTCATCCCAAACCTTCCGTTGCAAATTACAAAACGTCATTTTAGAGCTAATAACGGAGGCTTGAGCCATTGATATGCAGGCTAACGCAGTTATTAATGCAGTCTAATGTGGTGAGAGAGAGGGAGAGAGAGAGATTAAGCTTGTGTGAATACGTGCGTCTGTGTGTCTCTCAGCAGCGTTCAGCAGCAGCGTCTACTAATAGCGAATCTTTAAGTTAAACTGCTTCAAGAACCTCGCAACTGAGAAATGTCAAGTAGCTTTTCAGCTGCAAAACTATTTTATTGATAAGCGCTGACAAGAAGTTTCTGTTCACGTCTCCGCGTGTGTGCACAAGTGCGTTTCTGTACTGTGTGTGCATCTGCAAGAGAGACTGGGAGAAAGAAAGCATGATTTCCGTAGCCAACATAAAAAAGGTGCAAGACATGGAAATAGTTTGTCTTTTTTTACCCTATTGTTTGTTATATTTATTTGCTCAATGTCTTCTGGGGTTTTGGTTCTTTTACTGTTGTAGATAGCCCATATTATAACAAAAATATTATATATCTCTTCATTGCGTTTGGGCCCCCCTGGACGAGCGAACATATAGACACGTGCCTAGAATGCCTATGCGTAAATCCAGCCCTGCTTACAGTAGACACATAAATTAACACAACAAACTTTTATGTATGTATGCTACTGTTCAAACTCTTTGGGGTTAGTAATCTTTTTTTTAAAGAAATTCATTACTTTATTCAACAAGAATGTATTAAATTGATTTAAAATAAAAGCTGTTCTCTTAAACCTTCTATTCATCAAAAAATGCTGAAAATTGACCATGGTTTCCACAAAACATTAAGCAGCACAATTTTACAATACTGCTGTTTTTACTGTATTTTTGGTCAAGTAAACGCAGTCTTTATGAGCATAAGAGACTTATTAACTCAAGAAGCACAGAATTCCTAATTATTTGACAAGCAGTAAAATGAAAAAGAGAAAACTTCATTTAGAAAACAAACAAGTGCCACAAGACAATGAGGGCATCTTGAGCCCTTTCTGAAATGAGCGTATGACAACATTCTGCAGAATCCCATTGTATAATTGCCAAACTTCAGAAGTCACACACACCTTGTGCCAACTTCTGTTAGACACAGGCTCTTTGTGCCAGTCAATTGACTTAGCGAATGAATAATCTAATTAGCATGCACCAAGAACAACAGCACTGAATGCCAAATCCATAAAAATCAAGTCAGTCTTCATCTAATGCTTTTATGATAGAAAGCAAAAGATTAACAAATTAACCTACTCGGGAAGAGTTCAAACTCACATTGCAGATCATACTGACTGAACTAAACCATGCAAAACACTTCGATTTAGTCTTGTCCCATCCTCTTTAAAAATGATCTATCTACAGTACATTTTCCATACAGAACCGTGTGAAATGACACTGGTTTTCACCAGATGATTCCACTGTGGCTGCAGAAGATTGGGAGTGGGAGGTGAGAGCATTTTTTCATATTCATGGGGAAAGAGAAACGGTGCCATCACAAAACAGCGTGTTTCTTTATAGCCATGGCGTAGGAGAACAATGAACAGGCTGTCAGGAGGGTCTCTGAAACGTAAAAAACCCCGCTAAAAGAAGAGATTGGCATTTGCATACGTAAAAGCAGAAGCCTTTAATGTTTTCAAGTGGGCTGTGTATACAAAAAGAAAGAAAGAAAGACAAGTAGGATGATAGATTTACAAGAAAATCTAATAATAATGGAATGGAGTTGATCTTTGTAAAAAGGTATCTAATCTATCAGAATTTCAAGCAAAACTATCATAAAACTTATTTAGCATTACTTAATTAGCCTGACAATGGCAGTCATTAAGACAGACAATCACCCTTCTCAAATGATATTATGGTGGCTAAATATAGACGAAAGATTTAATCATGCAAGTCATCTTCAAAGTGGAGCACTTGCGTCTAACATATCGGCTTGAATTTTTTTAGCAGTCAAGCAATAAGTCTTTAATAATGCTTTCTGGGACCTCGCTGGGTACTAAGTGCACTTGGCAGGTTTATAATTGGACAGTTTCTTTCAACCCATCAGAGAAAGTTTGAGATTGAAAAATGTTTTTCAATAAAATTATTAAAAACCAACCAAAGCTCTATTAAAGTTTTCCAGTTCAATATGCCAGCGTGTCAATCAAAAGACATCCCAGACGGAACTAACGTGCACAGATTCTAGTTATTGCTCTCGCACAGTCACACCTTCACAAGCACTGGGTGAGCACACAAAGAAATGAAGGATGATGCAGATAGGAATGCACACGTCTGTAATCCAACCAGTCATATTTGAAACATCCTGAGGCCAAAACAATAAAAAGAGGTTGAAATATCTTACCACTGTCTTCGATGGAAAAGTGGAATGTGTCGCTTGTGGCATTGTCTCCGTCTCGAAGCACATAGCATATATGCATGTCATTGATGTCAGCTGAAGGAGGAAATATTCAAAAGGATTAGTTAGTTTTTAAACTATATTAAATTCTAAGTTAAGTTGGGATGCACTTTATAAAAATACTATATCAAGATCCATTTTATTATACATTTAAAAAAAAAAATTCAGAATGACAACTGACAGACCAAAATCAAGTACTCCAGAGAGATTTGTTTTATGCATCTTTACAATATTCACATACTCAAATGCAAACATTTCTATATTATAATTTGAAATTATATTTTATATGAAATTATATTATTTTGTATAAGGAAAAATGTGCAGAAATTATACATTTAGTTTTACCATATACTGCAAGTACATCTTATAAGATGCATATATGTATCTTAAGGCAGGAGTTTTCAAACTTTTTGCTGCCATGGATGAAGGATCCAAAAATATGAAGGCAGCTATACAGTATATTTTAAGACTAATTAGGAATTATAAATGTGTGTAGTATTAAACATTCAGTAATTGGCAATTGTGTTATCATTGCACTAAAGCAATAAATAAATAAATAGATTTAATTGTGGGTCGCTGCTGGGTCACTCCAATTACACTTAACCCTTAAATGCATACCTCGGGTCTTTGGCGACCCGGGACATCATTCTCTACCCTCTCCCTCCTTTATTTTTTTAAGTTAGACATCAACTTTCTTAGTATTCCTCAATCTATTAATTATAAACAACATGAGAAAAAAAATTTAAAATATAAAAGAATGCTTGTTTTCTGATAAATTTTTTGTAAAAAGTGTATAGGGTCGCTAGAGACCAGAGGTATGTAAATGTGTAAGTATTTTTTCCTGCGCAACTAGATTTACATATCTGATGACTCAATTTGTGCAATGCATCTTTTTTCCTCAAGGTGGCGCTGTTTGATACACAATGATGACATGATGTTTCACTCATAATTACCACAGGCATAAAACAAACGAATATCATCAGCAAAAATTGAAGTGGTTTGAATGGCTTTACTACAGAGCAATTACTATACGCAATGAAATATAAATGTCACTGTCATTTGATGCTGGATATGATGAATAAGCTGCCAGTGATCAAAATATTGAATATGAAGTCATTGAAAATGATCGTTTTGAGAACAGGTTGAGATCATGAATGTGAGGCAGATGTTGAATATACTGTGGAAGTGCACTCTGATGATGACAGCGATGGTAAAATCATCTTCTCAAATTTAACCCTTTTAAGTTTCAAAAGGTAACTAAATATGCTTTATTTTATTCTTCTGTAATTGCTCTTAAAATATCAAGAGAGTTTTTTGCTATTGCAGCAGTTAGAGGTCCATCCATGCTAGATATATTGGTCCGGGTCGCTAAAGACCCGAATATGTAATAATGATTGGCGAAACATTCATGCATTTAAGGGTTAAGCAGTGTTTGGGGGTAACACACTACAAGTAATGCCAGTTACGTAATCAGATTACTTTTTTTCAAGTAACTAGTAAAGGAACGCATTACTTTTAAATTTACAAGAAAATATCTGAGTTACTTTTTCACCTCTCCTGTCCCATGATGAGAGAAATTGGGAGTGAGGTGCAGACCAGAGGCACTTCCTTCAGCCTGATGTTTATTAATTTCACTTTTGGTGTGAAAGGGCTTTCACAGTTGCCCTTGTTTGTTATTAAAAATAAATAAGCAAGCCCAGCCCAGGTGACAAAAAGTAACGCAAAAGTAACGTAATGCATTACTTTCCATAAACAGTAAATAAGTAACGTAATTAGTTCCTTTTTTATGGAGTAACCCAATATTGTAACGCATTACTTTTAAATGTAACTTTCACTAGCACTGCTCTTAAGGTAGTAATGCGCATGATTGGGTAGAGAAGGTACAAAGGCACACCCCTAAATGTAAAATTTCTGCTATTTTGTCCTAAAAGTGTAGCCCTGACCCAAATGGCCCACGTGAACTCCACAGGAACCATTACCAATAGTGCATGTGTCAAAGTGTCAAACTCTGAGGAGGAGAGTGCCATTTGGGACAGGTTCTATATGAACCAGGTTGAAAAGCACTTTCAAATAAGGGCATTTTGCCCATCTGCTCCTGCACAGAGAGCTGCAGGCACCAAACCACATTATGTCTGAGATTTATCAGCTGGGCAGTGTTTAATTTAGACTGAAAGAAATATGAAGCACTGAAGCCGTGGCACATCAATTCCCTTCTGACTGAAAGGAGCCACAAAGAGCAGCAGGTCTCCAACTGGCACCCATCTATTAATTTCTCCACCACCCTCTCTTGTGCTAAGATTTTGGAGTGCATTTCATGTACATGGTTTTTCTGAGAGGGTGTTACATCCACAGTGCCAGCCTATCTTCAATATTTGATGTCAAAACATTTCTCTTCAAAGCGGCCAGCTCATAAAAATGTAAACCCATCATTTTCAAATGCCCACAAGGGAGCAGCAACTTTATTTACTGTCAGTAGCCCACACCCCCATCCCCAACTGTGCTAAATTCCCTTGAAATATTCAAAGAGAATCCTAAAAAAGGAGCTTGTTTAGAAAGGGGAAGCACAGTGGCAAGTTGAGCATGTCCCCTGCTAGTTTTGACATTTACAAGTTTTTACGATTATACACTCTTAAAAATAAAGGTGCTTTACGATGCCATAGAAGAACCTTTTTGTCTAAATGGTTCCATAAAGAACCTTTAACATCTGAAGAACCTTTCTGTTTCACAAAAGGTTCTTTGTGGCGAAAGAAGGTTCTTCAGATTATAAAAAGGTAAGGAAGAGATGATTCTTTAAAGAACCTTTGACTGAATGGTTCTTTGTGGAACCAAAAATGGTTCTTCTATGGCATCGCTTGAAGAACCTTTTGAAGCACCTTTATTTTTAAGAGTGTACTAGGGCTTTTCTGATATGTCTTGGGCCTTTACTGTAATTTTATGACAATAACAGGTGTTTGCTTTGTACTCTCTGTTGGCGAAAAAGACTTATTTTACCCATTAATACTATATTGGTCTTATTTGAAGGCAAAAAAGTTTTCTGTGCATTGTGTCACAATGTGTGCACTTTTCCAGATTACCTTTCGATATTTCAGGAGAAATCTTCCTTTATAAAACTATTTAGAATATTGTAAGACTTATTATTTAGGATCATAAAAGAGTTCACACAAAAATGAAAACTGCTGTAATTTATTCACCCTCCTGTCCAGGCTACTCGTCTCCATATAATAAAAATGAAAGATGCCGTCAAGTTTCAAAATGAAAAAAGCACTTTATATGTAGTATGTGCTTCTGTGATGAACAGACTGACTTTTTTACTAAAAAAAAAAATAGTCCAATCTGCACTAGCTCTCAAATCATTGTCAAAACTCAAACTATTGTCATTTATTTAATTTGGTCATGAGACAAACTAAACCAGTGTACATAATAATTGTATGATCATTTAATAGTGCCTTTTTGCTATTTTGTAACTGCCCTGCTGAACAAAATAAAAATAAATAAATAAAATAAAACAACCAAAGCTTGTTTGTCAGTCTCCTAGTCTGTTTCAGAAGGGTTTTGGGCACGTTTCTTCTGGTCAGGCTGGGTGATCAGATGGCAAACAACTTTAAGCCTATTTTTATTGATTTATTTATTTCTTTTCAAGCAGGCGTTGACAGACTCAGTCCTGATTCACTTTTATCATACTGTATGGAAATGAGAAGTCAAGATATTCTTCAAAAAGATCACCTTTTGTGCATGAAAGAAAGAAAGTCCTTTGGGTCTGGAACGACATGGGGGTGAATAAATGATCACAGTATTTTAATTTTTGCATGAGCTATCCCTTTAATCCAGTATTCTCTCATTTATGTTAGCCCAGTATTTTTTCACATAATATTCCAATACACTAAGCATAAATCTACCAGTACCATTAATTCATTTAAACATTTTTTTTAATGAACAGCATATTGTATTAAACTGACATAATAAAACTTACTTTGGGTGAATGTGGTGATAGTGGTATTGCCTTTCCCCAAGTCAATGAGGTAGCCATGCTCAGCGGCCACAGTAATTTTAAAAGTCACTGCTCCACGAAGGCTGTCTCTGTCCTCTGCCTTTAGTGTTTTACTAGTGATCAGGAACCCAAGGTGACCAGTAGGGAGAATCCTTAATGTTGTACCACCCTTATTAGTCACAACCTGTGGAACTCCATTGTCCACCGGATAAATTGTTATTTTCATCATCTGGGGTTTGCGAGTCGCATAAACCGTGTCAGGGAACACATAAAAATCTGTGTGAGTTCCATCAGTAACAGTAAATGAGAAGCTGTCGGAGGCAGATTCGGTTCCATCGTGCTTATAACGTATCATGTTTTCATTCAGGTCCTGCTTGGTGAAGGAAGTGACAGGACGGGTGTTGTTAAACAGCAACTTGCCATGTACAGGAACCTGGGTGATTGTAAACTTTAAAAGGTGATCGACTGTATCACGGTCCTCCACTGTCAACTCAAAAGGAGTGATTAACTTATTTTCACCTTCATTAACGACCAGCCCATGAATGGTGACCACAGGCTTTTTGTTGTCCACATCTGTAATGGACACACGGAAGGTGCGGAACACAGGATTGTAACCATCGGTCACTTCAAACTCAAAGCTGTCCATCTTTACCTCATCATCAGCAGTGTGGATGTAGTAGATTTTATTCCCAGCTAGTTGAAGCTGAGTGAACAAACTAATAGGCATCCCTGGCACATCAGTGCACTCTAAGTGTCCTCGTATAGGGGCACGTGTGATGGTGAACACCAAGTGTTCGTCAGGGCTGTTATGATCACTAGTGCTGAGCAGGTCTGTGGTTAGAGTGACCCTTCCTCCTTCTTTCAGAGAAACACCTTTGCTGATCACATCAGGGAACACCATGTCTATTCCACCCACAGTTACATAGAAGTACCTGTCAATCAAAGGGTTAATGCCATCAGTGACATCAAATTTGATAAGGTCACGAACTCCCTCTTGTCCATTGTGAATGTACATGATCATATCTTGGTCGATCTCATTTTGTGTGAAGTTCATTCCAACAGATATGTTTTCAAATGTTCCAAATGGTGTTTGCTTTTGTAAAAACCCTTGATTTGGACCATAACGGATTATGTAGGTCAGAATGCTGTCTTCTGTATCCAGATCAGTGGCTTTTAAAACGTTATTGTTGATTATTTTCACCTCTCCTACTTCTATTTCAAGGCCATCATTAATCGCCATCCTTGGTGTTTCATCGTCAACCAAAATGACCATAATCATGACAGTTTTCTCCACTGTGAATTTGCCATCAGTAAGTAGAACATCAAAACTATCCTTTGTGGTTTCTGAATCATCATGCTCGTAGACAATATTTGAAGCCTCTCGTATCTGATCAAGAGTGAAGTTTGTGACAGGAATAGTGCCTGAGGTTAACTGATTGAGGATATATCCATGTTTCGGAGGTTTTGAAATGATAAACGTGAGCTCATCCACTGGAACATCAGCATCAGCGCCGTTTAATATAGGAGTGTCAATCACTATGTTCATGCCTTCCATCACAACAAACTCTCTCATATGGATCTCTGGCTTTTCGTCATTGGATGGGATTATCACAATTGGGAAAAAGTGTCTCTCGGAAAAGTTTATCCCATCTGAACACCTAAAAGTAAACCTGTCCTCAACTGGCTCGACACCTTTATGAATACTTTGCACGTAATAAATGTGTTTTTTCCGAATGTCTTTAATCGTGAAAGCACTAATGGCAATCCCAGATCTGGATTTTTCAGAGCCTGGTGCAGGGGAGATATTTTCTACGTAGCCTGAGGTGGGCTGCACAATAATTGTGCAAAGTAGGTCGTCATTAGGTGTGTCAATGTCATTAGCACTAATATGCAAAATTTCTATAACACTTTTCTCACCCTCTACAACAATGAATTGGGGGCCCACGAAGACCTCAGGGGCCTGACTGTCCAACGGCAAAATGGTGACCTGCACACGAACCCCTTTGATTTTATTTCCCCCAACTGTCCATTCATCAGACATATCGGTAAGTGTAAGATTAAAGAAGTCATGTTTTGTTGTCAAGCCAATTTCTCCACTATTATGTGCATATACCACCAAGCCACTAATGATGTCTGCTTGAGTGAACCTATTGGAGGGCACACCATTCACTAATATTTCACCAAACACTGGGGGATCTTCTACGATAAAGGTCAGCCTGAGGTCATCAGTGTCCTCGTCTCGACCCTGAATGACGTTGGTGGTGATCTCAGTCACTCTGTTCTCCAGAACATCTATGTAAGAACCGATAGTGCCCTCTGGAAGGCTGATGGTTGGTGCTTCGTCGTCAATAGGCTTCACGTTGATCCTGACCGTGATTGTGACAACGTGGACGCCGTCACTGACATCCAGCTGGAAGAAATCGCTGGTTGACTCATCACCATTATGAATGTAAGATATTCTGCCATTAGATATATCATCCAAATTGAATGAATTCCCTTTAGTCATATCAGTGAATGTGTACTTAACCTGACCGTGCTTTGGAGGCTGGATGATTGTAAACAGAATCTGTGAGCTGTCCGTGTCGGCATCTGTGGTGTCCAGCTCGGCGCGAGTGATGACGTGCGCCCCTCGTTCTTGAATGGTAAAGCCTGTGTTGGTGATCTGGGGAGGCTTGTTGTCAACAGGCTGTAAAAATATGGTGAAAACTCCATTGGCGATGTTTCCCCCCGTGTCCTCAACTTTGTAATGGAACTGCACCACATGTGGGGTTATTCCAAGCTCTAGATCAGGAGGTTTGTAGGCTATCTTGTGATGATTTATCTGCGCCTGAGTGAACTCGGTGACTTCTGAGTTTGGACTCTCAGTTAAAACGATGCTTCCTAGAATGCCAGGGCTGTTCTCATCTGTGTCAGTGGGTGGCTGGGTAATTGTATATTTCAAGTCCCTGTCTTCTGAGTCTAAGTCTGTGTAGCGCAAGAACTTCTTTCGGAAATAGGTGAGTTGGTACTCATGAACGGTCACTTGAAGAGTGGTCCCGGGATAGAGCTCTGGGGGGATATCATCAATGGGGAGAACTTTGATGATGAAAGAGTTCTCACCTGATTGGTTCGGTGGGTCGTTGTCATCTTGCACACGGAAAACAAACTGGTCCATGATGGTCTTTGTATTATGTGGTCCGATATGCCTGTAAAACAGCTTGCCTTCTGTGATGTCCTGCTGAAACCATTCTGTCACTACTTTTTCATACATCTCATCCTCAGAATTGAACCTCCATGTGGATGGATCCTCCGGTGCATCTGATTGACGAAGTATGACTTCTCCAATAGTAGAGTAGGGAGGCACCATGATGAACTTAATAGTTGAATCCTCAGAGTCTATGTCTGCTGCACTAAGCATTAATGGAGAAATGGGCATCATTTGGTTTTTAAACAAAACTAAGCCTGTGTTGGCATTGATTATGGGAGGCTCATCATCAGTTGGCACCACTGTAATGGGAAATAAAAACTCAACTTCATTTTTTCCATCTGTCATTCTGAAAATGATATTATCGCTGTATGTATCGCTGCCATCATGCTGGTAGATGACGCTCCCTACATCAAGATCTGCTGGGGTGAAGAATTTTTGCCTGGACCCCAGAACTGTGAGCTCTCCATGGCGAAGTCCATTAATAACTGTGATTTGGACATTGTCTAAATTGTCCTCGTCACTAATTTGTAGGTTTTGTGAGCTGGACAGTTGCCGGGACTGACCCTCATAAAGCAGTTGGCCAGTGTTACGGGTCACAACTGGTGCTAGAGTGTTCATAGGCTTAACCACTATCATAAACGCAAAGGGATCTGATATAGCCCCCTCAGTGTCTACAACTTCAAACTCAATTTGGAAAATTCTCTCCACATCCGAATCCACAGAGGGAGGCTTATAGGCTATTTTAAGTTCTTTCAGGTCTGCTTGATAAAAAGACGTAATGGGCAAATTCCTGTCATCCGTGCTCACAATGTAGCCCTCCTCAAAGGACAGCGGAGAAGTGATGTTGAAGATTAAACCATCAGGATCGGATTCCACATCCTCAGCGGCAAGCATATCGTGGGTTATAGCAGTCATTACAAACTGGTCAACTTCCATCATCATCATTGCCACAAAACTCGGTTTAGGAGCTGTGTTTTCCTCACCCTCTTTTATAAGCACCACAATTTGGAAAAACTCTTGCTTCAGTACATTTGCTTCTTTGTCTTGTAACTCTAAATACATGGGAATATAATCTCGGTTTGGAGAACGATGTGCAAAAGTGTGCTGATAGCGAATGTCCATCCTGACAAACTCATCACAGTCCACAGGTTTCCCCAATTTTCCATTATCAATCAGCTTTCCATACCTGGGTAATGAGCTGCCACTGGCCAAAGATGTAACTTTACATAAATGAGCATTTCTATCATAAGTAAACTCCAGGATTTTCTTATCAAGAGGATTACTCATTCCAAGCAGTTTCTCTACAACTACAGGCATGTGTTTGGTGAGAATCTCAAACTGAGTGAAAATCACCTCAACTTCCATCATAAAGGGAATGATGACTGTATCAGTCTGAGTATCATATCTGAGCTGAAGTCTTACTCTGTCTTTTGAAGGGCTTCTGGATCCGAAATGCGAGTATTTTACATCATTGGGACCAAATTCACATGGAAACTTTTTCGGGGACAGCTGTCCCGGTCTCTGTGACAGCGGGTCATTATCCAGAACTGTTATGGTGCACTTGTCTCCGGGCTGAACTTGGGTAACCAGGTCATTGATTGGATCAATATAAACAGATCTGCCGAAAGGAACCCGTATTCCATTATTGGCAACAAGAATAGCATCCTCTGAAAATTCAGATCTTAAACCGTACGTTAATCCCAAACTCTCAAATCCCTGTGCAGATGCATCGCGAAACAAAGTCAGTATACAGAGAAACAAGTGCGCATGAAACGCTCTACGTTGCCGCTGCTCTGTTATATTTCGAGCCATTTGTGATGCGAGCCAAAATTACTACTACACGTTCGGCACAATCCGTGGCAAGATGAGAAAGTGGAGAAAGTTAAAGCGCGCAACAGAAAAATCTCCCATTCGCATCCGCGCAAAGGTGCATCATTCTCCCTGAGCAGCTCGCACTCTGAATAAACTTCATGCCTCACGGAGCCGTGCGAAGGAAATCACGCCCCGCTCTCACGCTATTGGCTGACGTTTACGATGGAATGCGTTCGGAGTGTTCTGATTGGTCGCAAACAGTGTCACACAAAGGCAAGCGGGGACAGATCTGCATGAATTCAGAAGGAATGACTTGTTGTGGCTTATTATGGCAAGCCGTTTAAGCATTCCTTCCTTTGAACTAACTAGTAGGCCTAACTATTTTTATTTATTATATGGCTTCGTGTACTTTTTTCCTAGAAAAACTGAAAGAATAAAAGTGTCTGATACAGTCACCTATCTTATTACCTCAGTGTAGCCTTCTTAATTGAATCTGGCACAGTCATCACAGTCTGCACTGGACAGGAGAATGCTTCACTTCATAAGAGCAAAGGCAATCAAACGGACTTGGTCAGAAAGTGATGCATTAAAATGTATAAAATTTTTGTTCTTCACTTTCATGAAATATTCAAATAAATAAATAAATAAATAGAAAGATAAAATAAATAAATAAATAAAATAAAAATTACTTGGTGCTTTTCATGTTGAGGCAATGCTGTTGACTTTGGCAGTATCAAATAAAGTGAAAAACTGTCAGAAAGCAGAAACCAAATGATACAAAAGATCAAAAGGTAAGATAATGTAAAGGCTTTTTCCTTTCTATAATGGTCTGATATGCATCATAGGCGCTGTGCATTGTGCCAGCTCTCTCTGGTGGTGAAAAATAAAATCATGAACTTCACTGTGGTAAAAAAAATAAATAATAATAATTCAGTCCAACTGACTATATTGCAAAGAGTCAACTGGAATTATTTATTTATTTATTTTTTTGGAAATTAAATATTTTAAACTAACAATGCTGTAACATTGGAAAGAAAAAAAATCCACCCTGTTGATTTAATACAAAATAAATATTTTCCACATATTAGTTAAATCTATTTTGTACAAACAAGAGCCAATTATTCTGTAATTTTGGAAACAACATGCTGTCTTTGTAAAAGAATGCATGCTGCTTCGCAAACATTACAAATGTGTCTGAACACATGAACACATTCAGCTGCCTTTATATTTTTTTTTACATTTGGGTTCTTCTGCATTAAAAAAGAAAACATGTATAACCTCCATAGTGATATAATCTATGTCATTCAAATATTCCTGTATTGTTCTATTCCAGTTAAGGTTTTTAGAATACCCTCTAAATGAGACTCTAAATCAGGCATGTCAGTTATTTAGGTCAAATGTTTCTTGGGACTATAGCTGCATTTCACACATGTGATGGGTTTTATTGACTGATAAGATGTGCACATTTTTTTGTGCAGCTGCCAAAGGATGTGAGAGAGGAGAGCAGGTGTTGGAGAGAAAGAGAGAGAGAGAGAGAGAGATGAATGAAGATAATAAACTCAACAGTGGTCTTTACAAACCATATCTTTATATTTTATTTGATCAATGCATTTAAACTGATGTTAAATACAATAATGCTTGCATGGTAAATTATAAAGGCAAGCGGTTTGATAAATATCGTGGATACAAACAGTTATTGCCTTTTATATAAAAAATCTGTTTATGCTTTTTAATTTCAATCAACATGTGCCAGTGTAAAATCATCTATATGAAAAATTCTGCATAAATGATAACTTAGTTGAGACCAATTTCAATCAATGCTATTTTTGAATAACCCTGAGAGTTAAATGTTCTTACTGAGAAATACCATAAATGCACAAAGAAAGCTCCATCCACACACACAGTCACACTCAGACAACCAACTATTCTGGCATCCTGCTGTTTGACTGATGTTTCCAGTAAGGCTTAAAATTATGCACATCACAGAGGAATTCAGCCCTGTCAACACCCCCAGTGTGAATCAGACAGATCAGATTAGAGGTGCCTAGTGCTGATTTATGGATCTATTGTCCATTCTCGAGATTTGCAATTTTCTGTTTGTATTGCACAATCAGAAGAGCTTAAATGGTTGTAATTGTATATGACACAATTAATAAGGTAGTGCTTTCTCACTTTTGACTTGCATGAAGAATAAAAAAAAGGTTTTCCAACACTGACTTCAGGGAAATGGGCAAAGTGAAAGCTTTAGGAGTGTTTATCATTACCCTGCTGCTGCCCTGTGTTTAACATAATGATTATTTTGGTTTTATTGGATGTGTAGGAAGCTGCAGATGTTCTCAAAAGATGAAAGGCAGCAGTGAAACAGGCAGCAGTTCGAACGTTAGCTTGTCTGCATTATCATGTGTATTTAAACCAGATATTACTATTATAATTTTTCATGAAATGCACTCTTTTAGATCTCAATCTTTTATATTTCTTTTGCTGGTATGGTGATAAAGTCTTGTAACAGTAAAGAGACTGTAATACTTCCTACATCCCCAGATTATTGTCATTACCTGAGTCTGATCCAACTTGTCAATTACAGCATGAGTTCTCTACATCTCTGTAGTGTATAAACCCAGCATTACCTGGGCTCCGTTGAAATCCATTTACTTTCTAAAGCGCTTCCTCCAGGGGAATTTCCACTCAGGATTTTATGTTCTCTTCCTGGCTTGATTTAAGAATATCCCTTCCTTGCTCTTATGATAAACTTACTTTGCCACCAGACATTTTAGCGGTTCATCTTCTTTTAGTGTTTCCAGAACATCACTTGTGGTTGTGTGCCCAGACTTGACATCTTGGATGATTGTTATTCAGGACATTTGGTCCCTGAGGGGGTACATATACACCTGGTCACTTCATGCGTTTAGATTGATCAGACTTGGCCACATACAACACCACTCAAACGTTTGGGGTGTTATTTATTTATTTGAAATACATAAATTAATTTATTCGGAAAGGATTACGTTTGGGGTGTTATTTATTTATTTATTTATTTGAAATACATAAATTAATTTATTCGGAAAGGATGCCTTAGAAGACAGTAAAGACATTTACAATGCTACAAAAATTTCTATTTCAAATAAATATATAGTTCAGTCATGAAACTCTAGATGGCGCAGGCTGACGGGTTGTTAACGTAACTGATGATATTCAGAGAGTTAAACGACTTGGCACAAGCTGATTGGTTCATGCTGCATATGCAGCCAATGAGCTTACTGCCTGCATTTATATGGCTGGCTAGCATTCACTTGAGATTCCTGCAGCGCGCTTTCAGAGTTCTCTGAAACCCTCCACCTTCCCCAGCTCCACCTGTATAGATCTGCTATGGGGTTATTTTATATGCTATTTGCGCAGCAGCAATATGTATTAAATACTCAAGGCACTGTATCGCCATATGCATTGGTAGTAGCAAGTTCCTGTACTTGCTTGCAGCAGCAGCAGTAATAATCTTCAACTACAGCAATAACCAACAGCAGCAGCAATTCAGCAGCAGCATAGCAGATCTGTTCCGCCGCATGAGTTCTCTACATCTCTGTAGTGTATAAACCCAGCATTACCTGGGCTCCGTTGAAATCCATTTACTTTCTAAAGCGCTTCCTCCAGGGGAATTTCCACTCAGGATTTTATGTTCTCTTCCTGGCTTGATTTAAGAATATCCCTTCCTTGCTCTTATGATAAACTTACTTTGCCACCAGACATTTTAGCGGTTCATCTTCTTTTAGTGTTTCCAGAACATCACTTGTGGTTGTGTGCCCAGACTTGACATCTTGGATGATTGTTATTCAGGACATTTGGTCCCTGAGGGGGTACATATACACCTGGTCACTTCATGCGTTTAGATTGATCAGACTTGGCCACATACAACACCACTCAAACGTTTGGGGTGTTATTTATTTATTTGAAATACATAAATTAATTTATTCGGAAAGGATGCCTTAGAAGACAGTAAAGACATTTACAATGCTACAAAAATTTCTATTTCAAATAAATATATAGTTCAGTCATGAAACTCTAGATGGCGCAGGCTGACGGGTTGTTAACGTAACTGATGATATTCAGAGAGTTAAACGACTTGGCACAAGCTGATTGGTTCATGCTGCATATGCAGCCAATGAGCTTACTGCCTGCATTTATATGGTTGGCTAGCATTCACTTGAGATTCCTGCAGCGCGCTTTCAGAGTTCTCTGAAACCCTCCACCTTCCCCAGCTCCACCTGTATAGATCTGCTATGGGGTTATTTTATATGCTATTTGCGCAGCAGCAATATGTATTAAATACTCAAGGCACTGTATCGCCATATGCATTGGTAGTAGCAAGTTCCTGTACTTGCTTGCAGCAGCAGCAGTAATAATCTTCAACTACAGCAATAACCAACAGCAGCAGCAATTCAGCAGCAGCATAGCAGATCTGTTCCGCTAAGACCAAATACTTTAACAGTGTCATATACATCACCATGCTAAAATGTTCCGAGAGTTGTCATGATTGAAATGCTGTTCTTTTGAACTTTCTATTCATAAAACATTTGTGGATATTAAGCAGCACAATTGTTTTCAACATTGATAATAATAATAATAATAATAATAATAATAAATGTTTCTTGAGATTTACATAAAATACTAAAGTGATGGCTGCTGAAGGTTCAGCTTTGCTATCACAAGAATACATTACATTTTAAAATACATGAAAATAAAACATCAGTTATTAGAAATTATTACACAATACTACATTTTTACTGTATTTTTGGTCAAATAATTGCATTTGTGAGCATAAGAGAATTCTTTCACAACGTGTCAAACTTTTGAACGGTAGTATAAATCTGTGCAAAATATATACAGGTGCATCTCAATAAATTAGAATGTCATGGAAAAGTTCATTTATTTCAGTAATTCAACTCAAATTGTGAAACTCATGTATTAAATTAATTCAGTGCACACAGACTGAAGTATTTTAAGTCTTCTTGTCCCATCTTATAAGGTACAGAGCTATTCAGAATTTTAATTCCTATTTACCTAAACACGTTACACCCTCTCAACTGACTTTCAATGTTCAGAACCAACATAACTCTAATTTAAAGCAA